GAGTATAGGACAGAAGCACGAAAATAAAGGATGCCAACATAACTTAGGAGTACAAAACCATAACTAATGAAAGTAATTAACCAGTACATTGCACTATCATACATACCAGTACGTTGAGCTATCATATATCATATATACTATAACACCCTTTAGTAGCATTATGGTAGCTGTGATGGTCCAAGAAATATGTGAGAAGCAAGAACTGTATGATATGCTTGATTACAAAGTTTGTTTTTGTGCACTGTCTCTGCACTTTCATTTATTTTGGAAAAGTATTTTGGAGATTTACAGGAATGGAGCTGATAGAACAATATCCCAGAGTAATTCCATCAAGGAATGTTCTTGTTCTTATCATAAGGTAAGGATTTGCCTAACCTCTTTGTATGCTTAAACTGTACTATCCTTGTTACTGATATTAAGACATTCAGGATCAAATTCTCACAGAACTGTCACACCAACTCCCTTGGAATTACTCCTGATTTCAATTGGCACAAATGAGATCAGCATCAGTATACACGTTCCAGCTGTGTGAATCCATTTCTATATTATTAGCACTTTGTTTAGGTGAGTCATGTCTAACCAGAGAAGTGCTTTTACCGAAAACAACATAGTAATGGTTTTCTGAACTATGCTAGCTTAGACACTGAAAGTTCTACAGGAAGACTGAACTACTAATTTTTGTATCACGTGGCCTTTTTCTGACTCTTGTAGCATAAGCACACAGAAATCCAACAGCTGACCTACTCCATTTACAAAAACCTCCCCCACTAAATACTGTTCAGTCAGCAGAAGAGGAACTAATCTGTGCATTAGGATGTTGAGAGTGAACCGAACCAGTTAACTGAGTACTTGTGTTTCTTTCATAAGAAAACAGAGGGCAGCTTCATCTGATACAGAGACAAAAGAAGCTCAAGTGCCTTCTTTGGCCCAACAGTGACAGGGGCTCCTTTTAGCTGGATCAGATTCTGAGTCTGGTTTGGCATGTATACCAAGGCATCCTACCTATAGGCCTCCAAACACACAGATGTTCAAAGGAACCTGACTTTTCCTGAACTGCTTGAGCTCATCTCTAACAAACAGGTGCTGCGAGAACAAGAGCAGTAATTGAGTTAATGTAGTGGAGAAACACAGGAGAGTGTGTTTTATCAATCAGTTATATGATCCAGACATATAATAAAGTCAGATTGTAATACAAACTACAGAAAACTGACAAACACCATCCTAGATAAGTATGAACTAAACAATATAATATTTGCTTAATAATTGGTATCTATTACATCATTTCCATTTGCTGCATAACAAATGAAATTTGATTTAATAACTCTAGTAATTTGCCATTTTACATTTTTCTAATGTTTATTATGATTATTTATACAGTTTAAAACACTGTTTCATTTTAAAAATACTCTTGTCATTATTTTATAAATACTTTGTTCTTAGTTTAATGGAAATTGATCCTTATCTATTTTAATTTTATCATGCTTTTAAAATACATTGCAAATGCTGTTTCAATAGTTTGCATAATGTTTCTGTAAAGTAATATTTTTTTGTTCTGTTACTGGAAGGACATTTTTTCTTGCTCGGATTCTCAGGTGGTTTTAAAGCATAATTTTTAGGGAATGGTTTCATTGCAATTTATTTATTTTCTATGAATTATACTCTGCAAATATTGTAAGCACAGTACTATCATCTTTAAGGAAACAAAAACCAATGAACACCTATTTATGGTAAGGTTTTTCAGAAGGCGTAGGAAGAGGAGCAGGATGAAAGGGAAGCAAAGAGGAGGTACCCAGTGCATTCATCTGCATGTGCAATTAAGACGGAGAGACAAACACCGGCACAGTTCGTGCTGGAGAAAACTGCTCCCAGGTGCAGTATTTACGTGTGTACCCAGGACTGCAGAAATTCAGGCCAAAGAGGAGCAGCCCTGGCCTGGCAGGGATCTCGGCAGGGGTGGGCAGGCCTGGGCTCCAGTTGGCGGCATCAGGCCTGGACCACAAGGGTGCTACAGTGGGGGTAGACAGCAGGAAGCCTCTGCACTGTCATACCCTTTTTCCCTAGCCATCCTGTCACAACCTACATGTGTTTTACAGCACACATAACTAGTATGCTGTACTGTCCTAGACAGTACGATCCTATGGCAAAGTTAATTAATTTCCTATGCCCTAATACTGGCGCGTATGTAGACTATGACACTTTACTGTGGAGCTATTTAGCTGACGCAGTAAAGCGCACATGTAGATGTACCCGGGTTTCCCTAAATCTTCCACTATTTTAAACATTAAAATAGTGTAAAATCACACTTATCAGGTTACTTTCAAATAATGGTATTGCCATATATTTATTTACTTTTATTACAGTAGTAAATGTAGAAATGAGGCCTGTGTTGTCTTAGGTATTGTACAAACTCTAAACAAGTAGTAAAGATAAAGTCATTGCCCTAAAGAGCATGCATGCAAAAGTGAAACAATATTAAGGGCCACATTTTCAGAATCACGTTAAATCGATCATACATGGTCAGTTCAATGACAGAAAGATAAGATGCAATGAATATATTCTATCTGTTCCTTTAAATTTCCTGCTTTTGCCAATTTGGGGCCCTCATAATCAAATTTTCAAAAGCATTCTGTCCATTTGCATACCCAGAAATATAGGCTGCCTATACACATGCTGGTTCACATTCAAATTAGATTGAGTCTGCTCCACATTCTAATTAAATCACTCTAGCGTGGCCTCACCATTATGTGTATAAGCCCCTATACATTTAAAAATGGCGGCAGGGGTTCTTTATCTAAGCCTCATCAAATGAGGTCTAGATAGTGTCCTGTGGCCATTTTGAAACATGCAGGTGAGGTGTTTTAATTAGAGCAGCTCTCTAGTAACTGCTCTAATTAAAGCATCCCCACCCGAAGCATGTTTATAGGCAGCCGTAGTTTCAAGGTTCTCAAAGTAGAAATGAGAAGTATACCCCAATAGCCACCCCAATACCTGATTTATGTAAGGAAATAGCACTTGCTTACCCAATTTGTGAAATTAGAAACAAAGAAAAGAGAATGAACTCATAGGTACAGCTAGAAAGTCTCTCTTAAACCTTCTCATTCTGTAAATAACTGAAGAATGTTTAAACTATTTTCATTGAAACATTCTAACAAAACTGTGGCCTAATCTTTCAGGAAAAATCTGAAAGGTCATGCACATTAACTACCCAAATTGCCCAGTAGTTTACCTGCCGGCTAGAAAGAAGGATACTGCATGTGAAAGTGATTTGCACAGGTGACCATGCAAGTTCATCAATAAGCCCCTAATCTCTCTTGATAGTCTCTACCCTGGGCCTATCTATCTATACCCCCACTCAGCTTCTAGATCTAAAGACATGGGTACTAAACCCCATATATTGTTTCCAGAGGATAAGAGATTCAGACTCTGCCAAGGTTGAGAATGAACTGAATTTTCTGATTCAAAGTCAAGTCCACTGTTTCAGACCGTTTTCTGAGCTCCCCCAACCCTGCCACACCCCCTTCCAAAATGGAATGAGAACTACAGAATTTCTTGCAAAACATTTTCTTGAAACTTAATTTCAGGCCAACTTAAACAAGTCATTTCATCTTATTTTGATGCTATCAAATCATTCATTCCAATTTCAACTGTTTACAATATTTATTTATTTATTGCTATAAGAAACAATGAATTTCATTTTGAAATGAAAAATCAAAACATTCCATTCTGAACATGTCAAAACAGGACATTTCTGAAGCATTACTGAAACGCTTCGTTTATTAATTTTTTTTAACAAAATGTTGTTTGGATCAACACGTTTTTCAAAACATTTTCATGTCAAGGAAAATGAAATGGCATTTTGTATTGAAAAAAAATATTTCAACAAACATTTCCACCTAGCTCTCTCACCAGGCATATCTTTTAACAAAAATACTTCTTTATTGGATAGCCACCCTTCTCCCACACCCACTTTGCAAAGCCTCATATAGCCAGCAGTTGCAGAGATAGCTGTAGGCCTGTAGAGTTCATAATATATAGGCACATGGGATAGAGAAATGTCATATTAGCCTTGAATCATGCATAGAATTTCAAGTGATGTCAATGGAAACTAAGGACATAGGTAAAGGCCATTGTATGGCAGTCAGTCACTTACCATACAGTGATTATAAGGTTTATTAAGCACCCATTAAAATATCTCTGTATATCATTCTTATGTTTATTTTATTAGAACACATACTACAATATTTTTAAGGAAAAGATTACAGTTTCCTAGCCTTTAACACAGACCATACTCTGAATGAAATAAACAAAACAATGATGGTGCCCGCATAACCAAAAAGTCTGCACAGGGTGGAAATAACTAACAAATTGCTATTATAAAACTAAAATAGGAATAGATACAGGTAGTGACTAGTAAGACTAGTGCAAAAAAGTTAATTTCTAAATGCATTTGATAAATTGAAGGAGTTAAAATGTCCATGTGCATGCCAAGAGATGAAAAATGAGAATAGTAACAATAAATTGGATAGAAAGAATAACTTAGAACGAAACTATGAGTCCCTAAGTAAATGCTAAGGGGGGGCCTCTAGAGCAGTTAGTGTGACTATGTCTGAAACCAATAGGCTTGCACAGAAGAACAAGGGTAATTGAAGGGCACAATGGTAAAACAGACTTTGAGATTGAAATTATCTCAAATAGGGAAAG